AGATCCGTTGAATACTGTCACAGACTTCGACAGCTGGCCGCGGATCAGCTGCGAGCCGTCACAGAGTATACTATTCGAGGTCATATGGGCCCCGAGCAGGAACTCGCCTTGCAGTTAGAAATCCTCAAAATAGCCGCGAACATACAGCGAATGATGCCGCCATTGGTCGATCAGGAGGGAGAGGGCCGCATTATTGCCGATCAAGCTGTGTCTTCCCTGTTGCAGGCGTCTGATAATATAGCCTCAATACGCGGCAGTTACGGGGAGAGAGTATAGCGGCGGCAAGCTCCACGTACCTGGCTGTCAGGTAAGGATGATCCGCTGCGTGAGAACACGACCGTTTGCTCACGACAGTAGTAGCCGACGCACTCTCCACAATGGACTCACAGAAGTGGAACGCATGACGCTATCGTTAGGAGTTGGCAGAACCAAGAATGGGTTTTCCGTCATCGTTTACATAGCCTATCCCGCATTTCAAGCTTCCTCCGTCGATCAAGAATAAAAGACCTAAGACCTGAACAGGAACACGACATCTCTCACATCACGCAATCAAACGTGATCTAGTGTCAGACGGCACCATATGTCATGTCACGTTCTGGGGCTCCTCCTGTCATGAGGTCTTCGGACAGACGCATCTTGACTATTTCCTACAATACATAGTATAGAATTCAATGCTTGTTTGTGCTACGCTAAGCTGGGATGCTAGCTCACCCGGTCTCACGACCACTCTCATAACACTATTCGAGCTGACACTATCATAGCCAATGCCGTTTCTATGGTCACGTACCAGAAGTCAGTTAATAGGTTTCCAGTCAAGACTGCATGTGTAGACTTGAGGCACGCGGTAGGCCAGAAACATGCCCGCCGCCATGCCAGATCCACCTTTCCGGATACTGTCGCGAGGCCCCTTTCTGTTCCTGGGTGTGCTCTTCTCAGCCTTGAAACAGGAAGTCCATGAGCTGACTAGTCTGCGGATGGTGCAATCTGAAATGAGGACGGCGACTCGATGTAACGGCAGTCAGGGTAAAGCGCCATAAGCGACCTTAGCTGACGCCCGAAAGACCAAGCGAAGGTCGTCAGTTCCGTCGATGCAGTCGTTCTGGACGTTGAAGGTTGGGGTGGCCGGCCGAAAAGGTGGGGTGGATGGTCACATCCAAAAGATGCTCTACCGGATGGTCCCGCCAGATGTGGGCGCCAAATCGGGCCCCACCCAGGAAAAGCACAGATCCCCGGCATACGCCCCACCCCGGGCCGGAAGCTGTCTACTGGGCCTCTTCCGTCTCCTGCATCCTTCATCAACTTCTGGCCTTCGGTCTCCATCTACCAGTCCAGATCCGGCACCCCGGTCACTCCACCTTTTCATCGCTCAGTCTGGACCTGGTCTAGACCCCGGCTGCCAAAAGCCAACCGCCGGGCGTTTGCTCATCTGGAAGCCGCAAGTGTGATGTTTTCCACCAACCCCTGCCACAACGCTCACCAAGCGATTATCCAAGAGGCAGAAGTGTTTGTTTTCCCAAAAGGCAAACAGTGGGGTCTTGATGTCATTGCACAACGAACAAACCTCCCTCTTTCTAAGTTGCAAACTTACAGCAGATGAGACGAGGTCGATACAAATATAAGTAGGGAGGTCTCTTCCCGATTGGATTCAGGAGTTTTCTTGGTGGGTTGGGCTTCCAGCCCCACCCCACCGCTGAGATGCCGTTGACCGTGTGTTGACGCTGCCATATGGCGGTGCCGTTGATGAACTTCCAACGACACCGGGCAACGGTTTCTTT